ACTATTTAGTAACCTCCAAATTGATGAAAAAATAAATCGAGTCTGCCTTAAAGCTCTTGAGAAAAATGAATTAGAGAAAATACGATCAGTCTTGTCAGTTCTCAAACAGATTCTGTAGATAATGGATTAATTATGATAGAAAATCCTTCCGAAGGTATAAGCTGTTTATTAGAAATTAAAAATGGCGAAACTTGTATACCAGTGATTAACGTTGGCGATAGAAGTGTTAGGCTCCAAAAAGATCAATGCTTTGGGAGAGCAGAAGAAGTTGAACTATGTTTAAATACTGAAATTTCTGAATTGAGCTCGAACTTAGCAAAAACGAAAAATATTAGCAACATAAAAGTTCCTATAAATTTAAGCCAAGTTAAAATTGGCTCGGATCTCGACGTATTGATCACCAGCAAGAGTTATTGCGTCTTTTCGAATGAAATACAGAGATTGCTTCGCACTAAATATTTCAGAACTCGGGTGCACTGATCTCATAAAAATGGACACTAAAGAAGATATATTCGTTCATCCAAACTGCAGTAAAGAAAAAACAATACAAAAAGTGCCGTTCGAAGTGTAGGATGGATATGGTGAATTAGGTGCATTTGAAGTTGTTGTTCGGAAGAAGGGGAATTAAGCTGCAAATCTGATTGGACTGAATCGCACTTCGGTGAAAAATAGTCCTTATGCTGCAAATATAAATCGACACTGTGGCCAACTGTTCTCTAAACACCACTTCATGCCAAGGCAAAGACAGAATGACGAAAGTGATGATAGTCAGAGCCAAGAGAATGTAGATGATAAGCAGCAACTACAACCTCAAAGGCCCGTACGAAGGCAATTACGTCATCCTTTAACTTCAGGCAATATTGTAGTTATCTATCCATAGGACTTCCACGAAACGTTGGACGTGATGGAAGTGAATGATGAACAAAATGAAAGAAAAAACGAAGAAGAGATTCAGGAGGTGGAAGAGACAATCACTGGACTTCCTAGACGATTTTATCAAAGGTGCTTTAATAAGCAAAACCCACTATCATAGGAATGACACTGAATGCAGTCAAAGTAGAATGGAAGGAGAAGCAACTAGTAAGGATACTGAAGCAAATGACGAAGAACAGCAGCCACGCGGTCAAGGATCTAGATCTTGTCCACTTTACAGATCAATCCCCATTTTTGATCTGTATCCCCAATGGATTGTCGAAAGCCCTACCAAGCTGATTCACGTGCTAAAAACAGATCTTTCGGAGGCCATCATTTCCAGAAATACAGACGTTGAGATAATGAAGCAGATGACGATGAACTTAAAAGACCCAAGCGAATAGTAAATAAACCAGGAGGTGAATAGAATTCCAAGCAAATTCTAACCTCCTTGGATAAACCATTGCGCTATAGAGACTTTGTATAGGACTTATAGAATTTTTTTAAAAATTATATTTCATTTTATTTTTTTTCCCTACCTATTATTATATTTTTGTTGTTGTTTATTTGTCGTTTTAATGTATGATAAGATTTGGTTCAATTGAGGACAATTGAAAAGTCAGGATGGTCGAATGTAAGCACGATTGTAAATTATTTAATTGTTATTAGACAAAATATCTATTGAGAAAATGGCAACAGCTAATTTCTGGATGTCGTTCTATTTATAATTTTAAAAAAGATATATTCAGATGATGTACGCTTGAAATGTTTAATCGGTACGATGCAGTGTAAGTAACGTCTGTTATGTTCTATGTACGTTTACGAATACGTTACGTGTAGGTTATTAAGTAAAGAGTACGATTTATCTTCTGAATAAATGTTTGTCTTTTACAATCGTTTTATGAGTCATTAATTTAACTACAAGAAGGAAGTTAACACGTCCATGTACACATCGACTATTTTCACTTAAAAAAATCCTAGAATTGCACAAAAATGGCATTGCGCACACTCTTGACTTTATCCATGTACACTGCTAAAGTCCTAGTTAATAACCTTTATCGCCTTACCAAAATGTCGCGAAACTACCTGTTACCATATTCCAAAGATTAGCCGGCATTTCTTTTGTGGATGAAATTACAGAAGAGCATACCAATACAACTGAAGGTATATGGCAGCATATTAAAATGCAGCTACCCCAATAACAGAAATGGAGACTTTGGGGAAAACTGAACATTACGGTCCAGTTTAGCGCATTTTCAAAAAATTGCCAAGCCCCCAAATTGGTTGTTTTTGCGTGTTTTTAGAAAATCGCTAACTCATCATTAGATGGTTGAGAATTTGAATTAATTCTGTAAACATGCAAAAATATCTAAACCAGAACTTCAAGAAAAACAAGGAAAAAAATGGGGAAAGTGCAGAATCACCCACTGCTTGGCACGTTTTTCAATTGCACATACTTGGTATACATGTACACATCAGCCTATTCTCTCTTAAAAAAATCCCAGAATTGCACAAAATGGCACTGCGCACTCCCTTGACTTTATCCATGTACACATCGACCTATTTTCACTTAAAAAGTCAAAGAAAATTGACAAAAATGCAATTCTCCTTTAGTAAAAAGCTCCAAACAAATAAGTGGGCGATTCTGCACTTTACCCAAAGTATTTGAAAGTTGATAACTATGTATTTTATAGGATCAACAATATTAAAAGTTTTCATAATATCATATACCATTTTTAAGACAGTAGCAAAATGGAGTGAAGCGTTTTATCACGAAATTTAAGAAAATGTAATAAGTAGTAAATAAGTAATAAATGATCAGAAAGCATTGATTCGTATTTAAGCCAAGATGTTACCAGAGTTAGCACGATTTCGCTTCACTTGGCGACTGGACCGTAATCTCTAGTCTAGCCGATTTAGTAGAATACATGTTCTCAAAACAATGTGCAGCAAAAGAATTCAACATAGTTATAAAATATTTAGAAATTGTTCGTGAAATTGAATGCTGGCTTTTTCCTTTGTGATTAAAAAGTATTATTAATAAGTATTTGTGCATATGTCAGTACTGTGAAGATCTTATCAATAAATTTTTACCATATATGATTATAAGTTTTCTACATTTGCATTCAGGAAATAATTCTATAACGGAAATCAGGGTAAGTGGTCTTTTTTTGTGCATGTATGTGTGCTTTCTCAAGGATAAAATATACTGAAACTCATTCGATGTTCTTCAAAAATAGTTTTGCTCATGATGGGAAACATCATGAAATTTTTCATAAAATTAGGAGAGTATAAAAATTTAAGCGAATTAAATTGAATGGAAATTTCATTCTCAAGAATAGTTATTGCATAAAATTAGATAATTTCAAGGATTTAAATGAAATAATTTGTTACTGATTGAACAATTTCTTACACACTTTGAGCAACAAATTGAAAAGGGGGAAAAAAAAAAATTAAAAGGCTTAGATAAGTTGTTTGAAATTCTATCTTCCTCTTCAGAGCAAAAAGAAAAAATAATCTGAATTACATTTTATATATAAAAAAAAAAAAGAAAGAAAGAAGAAGAGAAAATGGAAAAAAATAGAAGCAAGAAAGAAAAAGGGAAAAATAAAATATCAAAATTTTTTGATTCACACATAAAAAATTCAAAATACTCATTTTAAAGATTGATTAAAGCTACGGCATTACTTACAAATTTAATAATACTGAAAATCTAATAATAATAAAAATAATAAAATCTAGTAATAATAAAAATAAAATTTGAGTGCTTAACCACATGAAAATTTAATTCTGCTGCTAGCATCAGGTTGCCAGAGCACAGTATTTACAGAATGGCGAGAGTTTTGGTAATATTTATCGTTAGTGAAGAAATGGGGTTATACACAAGCTGTTCCAAGAAAGCATTGCATTTCTTCAGAAATATGGCATCATTCCCTAACAAAAGAGAATGCAAAAATTTGTATTCCACAAAGTTGTTTCAGAGAGCAATACCAAGTTTGTGTGATGGTATTGTGCCGTTTTCACATACAAATGTATATATATACTCCATTTTCTTTGAAAATAGCAGAAATTCCATTGTTATAAAACTATACATGAAATTTTGCTTTTTTATTGCCATTGAAATAATCTTTTCAAGCTTCAAACTAGTCTTACTAACTGATGTTTGCATTTCACATCCTCTTAATTTGATTAATTTATTTATATTTATGTAACCAACACTTTCATGCAAAATAACAAAGTAATTAAAAACATTCACATACTTACAACGGAAATAATATTCAATTTTCCAAAGATTTTAGTTCAGCTTGTTAACAACTATTTAAATTTTAATGTCCATAAACAAAACTTGTAAGAAAACATTTTTCAAAAAAATGACCGCGAAAAAGTATAGCAATCCCTTTCTAATGAAAAACTGAGGACACCAACACAAGTGGGATAATTTCACTAGACAGTCTTAAAACCATAGCCAGATGTTGAGTTTTCAACTGCAAATCCGTTCCCTAAATCTAAAAATTTAGGTACAGTTAGTACTTACGATTTAATGTGCAATTAATGGTATTTCAGAACAGCTCAGAAAAATGAAAGGAACCTGAAACTCTAAGAAAACGTATGGTAAAAATTGTCTATACAAGGGTTTCTCAAACAGGAAGGGATTTCAGTTTCAGGGGGAGACGCAGTCAGCCTTTTATTTACCTTTTGATTATTTAGTTTTACGAATATGCAAAAACTACTTTTATTCAAGTTTTGGTATTTACCAACATTTTCTATACTTTTTATTGCTTAATTTATTTTAAAAAAAAATTTTTAATTAAATAAATCGAAATAAGTATACATCTATTTTGTTTTTGAGTTTGGAAAAGGAGGGAGGGAGGGATGCCTGGATCAAAAAGGTTTGAGAACCACTGGTCTACACCCAAGTGAACATTCTACAAATATGCAAAGTTAATATGAACCCTGCAGTTATACTAAAAATATTACATTATATACTAGTATAAGAGAAAATAATGCATTGCACAAAAGTATTTTTAAGAGAGTAAGCAGCTGTTTGAATATAATTTGTTGCGATGAACGATAGTAAAATTACATACCAAAATTTCACTTCGAAAAAACGTTCAGATTATCCTTCGACTCCACACACAAGAAACATGGGGGTGAAACACAATTCAGAATGAAAATCTGTTTCTTCAATAATATTAAAATTGAAGAAATTCTATTGAAACACTTTACTCTAGGTCAAACTTTCATCTAAAATTTGCGCCACATTCTTTGTTTGAAATTTGCTGTTGCCAAATCGCGGATGGAAGTCCGCGCGGACAACCAATACGTACTCTTTGATAAGAATTTTCGTTTTGAACATAACCCAAATTCTTTCATGATTATATTCTGAAATTATTATGCCTTTTAAGTCTTTTAAAACATGAAAATGGTCATTTTAACTTAGATGTAACCAAAAGAACATATGAACTAATTATATCCTTCGTTAAGAGTGCCAAAATATCAGGGAATTTAAATCTCAACGATGGAGCAACGATTAAACACTCTTGCTACTGAAGACAATTCCCTCTATGACACTGCTCGTAAATTCAAAAAGCCTTTCAAGCAGAATCCTCCTATTCATGGTTGCAATGGACTTGTTTATTTTGATGAAGATAAAGTCAATAATTTCGCTGACATTCTTGAAGATACCTCCCAATTTCCAAACCCTACCCCAGTTTTCGAATTTTTGACGTCATGGACAAATCGACTAGTCGCCTGGATGGTAATTCTTGAGCATGCGCTTAAGGGGGAGAGGTAGGTCGCCGCTTTTTCGGATGGCCCAGACTGTCCTTTCCCATCGATGACGAATAGCTGATAGCTTTGCGCTTTGTAATCGATTACGAAGCTTCGATACTTTGTTTACGTTTTATGGTGGTAAGATTGTATATGGAAAATCTTGCGGAATTGATAAGGACCGCTCTTCATATTTAATTTTTTTTTTCTTGCTGTATACGAGAGTGGACGCAATATGAATAAATCTCTATGCTACAGTCAATTATTTCCATTATTCGAATTAATTCATCTTGAGAACTTTAAAAGTCTTAATAAACAGAAACTTACTCATATTGCTGATACAAAAGTATTGATATGCTTTGTTCAATTCTCTTGTTAATAAAAAACAGCAATTGTGCATGTAATGACAGTAAAAAATAGTGAAAATTTATATGTCTGTATTGTTGCCTAAGTAGTAATAATGCATGATTATAAAATAAATATTAGAATCTACTGAAGTAATAATTACATATGTTAGAACACAAGAAAAGAATCTGAATTTTTATTTATTTTAGTGACCCATATTTTTTTTTTTAATTATGTTCACAGAGTTCTTTTTTAAGTTTCCTCCAAACAGCAGAGATGCGTGTGACCTAAATTTTGTACTGAACAACACAAAATTATGTTCAAAGAAAAATTAATAAATTCTGCATTGCCTACGATTGCTAGTTAAAAAAAAATCATGTTTTCCATTTCTCCACATCGAAAAATTATACTGGGGGGGGGGAGACACCACTTCATTTGGCATTTGATGTTTTATATCAATAAAAATCCCATGGTTTTAACCATTGATTCTAATTTTAATCCTTCTTCATTGTTAGCTTTTAAGGAAATTTGCTTCTTATTTGCATTTTGGTCTCTTTCTGTCAATAGTGGTATTAATGATTTGGTTTTTATCATTTAACCATACTCTCCAATTTCTTTCTGTTGCTTCTCTTTCCTTACACCCAGTGTGCATGCCGTGTGAATGCATTATTTCAGATTCAAAATGTATACACAGAGAAACATATCACACATGATGATGAACAAAAGTGGTAATTTAATAACATAAATAACATTGACATCAATTATCACCTCCCTAAGACAACCACTTCCATAGAAAATTTTTGTAGCAGCTGTGTCTGACTGTCTTACAGAAGGTTCACTGTATTTTGTGATTTAAAATTAATTAGCTCGTTATAATACTGATGCAATTTAAAGTTTTTTCTTTAGTTAGTTCAAACAACCCATGTTATTGATCAAAAAGCAATACCTTATGATTATTAGTCATATTATTAAAAATTTCAAAAATGGCTTTTGGAAATTTTCCTCCTTATGCAATGATTTCCAGTTTGGTAAAAAAGCTTTCATAAGTTGATCTTACTATGGGCAAGTATTGAATTTTGTTTCCGAAACGATAACCAGTAATTTTGTTTAGAGTTAAAAATCATTTCTATGGTATATGTACATATTTTTACAGTTTTTAAAATACTTCAGAAATTCATTATCTCATGCCACAAGGCATGCATAAAATAAGCTTATTTCCTTGTACTATTATTATTAAGCCATCCAGAAGAAGAAGCCTTTTTTGACAATGGATCACTGAAAGTTATGCTGTATCTTTCTGTTAATTAGAAAATAATTTTGGATAATAAAATAAATGTATTAGAAAAATATATTATTAAAATGATATTTTTAAAACATATATTAAATTAATGTATTAGAAATCTCTGTAATTTAAAGCAAACCTTCGTTCTTCAACTACATATTCATTTCCGATACCCAAAGGCTAATTCCATCATAATAACTTATCTTTTAACTCGGTCATTATTCAGCAAAACCTTTCTATTTGAAAATTCTGTGATTCAGATATTCAAATTAAATACATTAGGCAATTTGTGTTTATTATCTACATTTGTTTCAATTAATAATGTTTTTGTTGGCATTAATTTCCTCTAAGTAATTTAAACATGAGGTTGTTTAAGAAGGCCATTTTTTATCCATTCATTTATTGAAATATTTGCATTTATTACTTCTTATATTAAAATTTACATATTATGTACTTTTTTCATTAGACAATCCAAGAATTTTATATATTATAATTTATGGTATAGGCTTGTATATATGCAATATGAATTTTTTTTTTTTTTTTTTTTTAATTTTCCAGAAGAAAAAAATTCTTATCTTCTATTGTTATCTCATTATCGGATTGTTTTATAAGGTATTTCTCCTGCCTTCGTAGCATGCCTCGGCAATATTCGAGAGGTCCATGGTTCGAGTCGCGGAGAGGGCATTGCTCGTTTTTCACGTCTCTCAGCTTCCAAAAAAAAATCCTAATGTCTCTACAGTGTCTTCTTCAAAATAAACAAATAATCTGATGGAATGAAAATATTTTGGTCATTAAAACTTTTTAATCACTGCTCTTTACATCTACATTTCTTTTTTCACATAATCTGAAGTTTTCGAGTAGTTTGAAGGTTTTCAAACTGTGTTTCACAGAAATTTTAGATACCATGCAACTCCTCTAGGGCATCTTCAAGTCAAAATCAAAATTTAAAACAATTTTTAATATCACTGGACATCAAAATGAATACTTGAAAATATTTCTTTATTGTTATTGTTACAAAAAATATTAAGCAGATTGTTTTTATGATTAAATTATAATGAAATATGAAATAATGATTTTCTTTTCACTTTCTGCATAAAATGCACAAATTTTATATTTCAATTCTTTTTAACATTTATTTTTCTGAGGATAGAAATTCTTCTCTCTAAAAAATTACAATTTTAGAAGTTTTTTGAATTTACAGATTTGAAGACAGTTGGATAGAAAAGCCACAATTTTTTTAAAATGGATGAATAAATACAGCCCTGGCTTTTGTTATGTTTTATGCATTTAAATAATTTCCGCCTGACTGTTTATTCTTTAATTCTACCTAACACAATTAATCGATACTTGTTTCTAATATAGGAATTTTAACATCAATTCTACATAATAACATGAGTAATCTTTTTTTTTAATTGAATTTTATCATTATTAACAAAATACTTTGGCACTATGAACTGAGAATTTTTTCCTTGACTTTTATCTTTCAATACTTTAGGAACTGGTCATTGATTTACATCTATAATAAAAGAAATAAATGCTTGTATGAGTTTTAACATATTGTTAAAAATGCAATAAACTCAGCTCCTTTGTTGCACTAAGTATTTTTTAGCATATGTAACAGTATAGACTCCATGATTATTCCTTAAAATCAGAAATAGATCTTCTGCATTAACTTACAAATAAAAGTGTGAATATCTGAATGGAATTATATTGAAAGATCTACTGGATGCTATGATTCCATGATGGTCAATCCACCACATTGGAAATATTAAATCAAACAATAAGTACAGGAAAAGATTCAGCAAGACAATATATCCTCTTTTGAATGAATACATTTAACTGTAGTTATTCCATATGATGTATTATACAACACCCCAAAATCATGGAAAATAACTTTCTAAACCGAGTTTACAGTGTAAAAAAAGTAGTGGAAAAATGTTGTAGTCATGTAACTGGGCTATCTAACATAAAAATTACAGCATATTACACCAGTGTTCTTACCTTTACTGCATATTACAACCAAATAACTACAATTAGATATGAGAAAGAACAGGCAGTGTCAGTACAACCAAGAGTAAAACTTTTACAGAGTTGCTAATTTGAAAACAAGTGAACCTGTAAAACTAACCCTGCATACTGGTTTGCTTTAGATGCATTTGGTAACCAATATGCCGTAAGTCTTTACCAGATTCAGTTTTGAGTGCATTAAATACTATATTGCTCATATGTCTTGATCGTGACAATCAATGCAGCTGCAGCATTATTGAATAGAAATAAGTTATATGACTCTCAAATAAGTGTTTGTAAAGTTGTTCAGGAAATAAATATTACTAAATAATAACATGTATTATGTTTATTGAATTGTACAAAACTTATATGTTATACTTTGAATTATCGTCAATTTTAATTGTCTGAAATCTGGTATTTGATAGTATATAGTTGTAGCAGTTTTTTCACTATAAATTCTGAAGAATCCGAAAATAAATGCACATACTAAAGTATTTCAAGTATGATAATATTCAGTATTTAAGATTATCCTAAAAGTATGAAATTTATTATTTTATTTGAAAATAAGTATTAGTGTATCCATGGCATGCAGGTCCCCGAGATTACTCTATTATCCACTCATAGGTGGGGGTGTCACCTTTGCCAAAGGCTCTTTGTAGCCTGCTTTAGGTTTTATACTAATTTTAATTACTGGCCATCTACTGAAATGGTTTCTTTATGTATATCCACCTTTATTCCAACTCTGGTATTTCTACGGCGATGGAGGTTTAGTTGACCATACTTCTTGACAATTCTTTTACTTTTTTTTTTTTTTTAGTTTAATTTTTTTTTTTTCAATTTGAAGCGGTAGACCAGTATTTTCATCTCGCATAACTGTTTTTGAAGCAGACTCGAAAATCTCCTTCAAAGAGTTGGCTACATTGTGTAAATTTTCGCTATCTAAATTCCAAAGGAGTGACCGAATTGATCTGTAATTTGCATCGCACTCATTGATCAAATTTCTTTTTTTACTCAACGTTGCTTCT